AGGTTGCTAAAATAAGTCTTTTCATGATGAGGCTTAAGCATCACTTGTAAACGGAATGTCGTGATCAAGGGAAGGAAAAAAAAAATGAGTATGATAACTTCAAGAAATACGGCCTCACCCCTTCCCTTGCGAGCATATCCAAAGATGGGGGATCAATTCCTTTTTGGTTTATGACAACAAAGTTCTTGTCATTACCCGCACAAACCTGCATATGATGAGAATACAAGACAACAATTAAGAAATGCAGATAGTTTTAATACCTAACATGCATGACCCTAACACCCTTACCTTGTTTTTCAATTCAATGATTTTCTGAACTCTTTCATCAACCTGACGCCTTTCAGCAGCAACCATTGCTTCCCTCTGTTCCGCATTAGAGTAGAAAAATCCAGCATTTATTTCACTGAGAGGAAAGCCATCAATTTTTAAATGTTCACAATACATTATAATGATATACGTCTATAAATGAATATGATCCACATTTTATATTCAGGATAACTAGACTAATTCAACTCATTAATGCCATATTAGATCAGGCTGGGGTAGCGATATACATGCATGCATTGATTCTGCATTTAAGAAAGCAGGAACAACACAAAACCAAGATACAACATTACAAGAAACATAATTATCTATCCATGTTGAGACTAAATCAAAGAAAGGCTCATCAATACAATTATCTATCCATGTTGATACTAAATCAAAGAAAGGCTCATCAATACCTTTTGTCATATTCCAGAGACACATTGCTGGTTAAAATATAACAATTCTCAGCTCTCCGTTTCATATCGGGATGTCTAGAACCATGATCAAGAACAAGGCCTTCAACCTAGTGATTGATGATTCAAGACATCAAAAACGATAAGTATTAATAAAAAAATTAACGAAAGAAGAAAAAACAATTGATAAGATAAGACGAGAAAACTACCTATTATGCAAGAAAATGAGATAAGGAAGAAAATAGAGGGAAAAAAACTCTTGAATTAACTAGAATAAAACAGAATAATTGCAGAAATCTTCAGCCGAAAAACTACCAACTAGAAGCATCAAGAAAATTAAGGCAAAATCAATCTCTACTCTTCCATTAAAATAAATTGATACATGGAAAAAGAAATCTTGATAATGAAACACACTTTCGATGAGACAAAATGAAAGAAGACAAAAGCATCAATAAAACTAAGGCCACAAAATAAACATGAAAAAGAAAAATATAAATGCTCTTTCATTTCAGAAGTATAGATGTTCTTTAGACAAGGCTACTTATTCAAAATTACAAATGCTCTTATCACAGAAAAATAAGGAAGAAGAAGAAGAAAATGCAACTTCATTAGAGAAAGAGAGACATACTAAAGAATGTAGAAAGAAAACCGGGATGAAAATATGTGCGCAGACCTTTTTTTTTTCTTTTCCTAAAAACAGTTTCGTAGTATTACGAAATTACTCTTCAAAAGAAAAAACCCACTCAGAATAGCAAAATGGAAAAACAAAGAAAAAACATGAAATGACTAATGAACAGAACTATGAAGAACATTTTCAGAAACGGAACGTTGTTTCCATGACAATAGATCACTCTGCAACAAAGCAACAAAGCAACAAAGCAACAAAGCAACAAAACAGTGGATGTAAAGACAAAATTGAACTGTTTTTTTTTTTCCATAAAATTACACGACTATCATTTTCCATGGCAGGCTGAATATAGTTTAGCTTTTGTTAAAATGTAAAGCAACTTTCAACGTATCACAGGTAGCACTACCAGCAACACGCTAGAAAGCAAGGTTTACATTATTTCCTTACCTTTTAGTGTTCAATCTTAATTGTTTTCTTAAAACCAAACCTCTCAGTAGAATTTTGGAAAGAGTACAGATGTAAATAAGATCCTAAACTTCGTCATTGCTAAGATGAAGTTCTCTAGCTACAAATTCTGTAATTACTCTATTTTCCTGTTAATGCCAATTGGAGATCTCTTTGGTTATTGGATTGCAAAGATATTTTGTCATCCGGCATCCTTTTGGGATATTTAATCAAATATCTATCGGCCAAAAGTTGTCATAGAATCTTAATACATACCAAGCGAGTGTCAACATCAAACTTATGACGCATGTGCATGATTTCCACCATAAACAAATCAATGGCTTCTTCTGGTTTACGAATGCAGAGCACCTGCAACAACTCAAACACAAACCATTAGCCAAAAAAGGTACAAGCAATCGTCTATTGTAGACTGTTGATCACAATGTAAATAAGATTTAGAACTTTCAATCTGAACTCAGAGCATATATGTTTGTGATCACTAATAGATTAGTACTCACCGCATTAACAACTATGTCAGTCAATTGATCTGCCAATGATTCATACAGCTGTACAAGAGATTGACCCATTGGAAAGATATGAGACAGCTAAAATGTCAACACAAAATTACTCAGCAAGAGAAAAAGTCCATCAAATAACCTTTGTTCTGAGTGTCGTCCTTGCTACCATTTTCAGAATTTCTTTGTCTGGCTCGTCACCAACCACAATAGGAGTCTTAAATTTTTCAAGAAATTGAAGAGTTGCTCTTTTGGCAATCTCAAAACCATCAACCAGGACACGTGGATGCATGCCTGGATCATGAATAAACCCCATTAGGAAAAAAATACCAACAATACACAACCATTAGAGAATATCAACCAATCCTGTGCCAAATAGTTCTATAAGATGCTAAGAAGCCTAATTCCCGATATTAAAAGGTTTCTGCTTCAAATAACGTGATAAAGAGACATGTCATAGAATCTTAATATGGCAAATTTTCATCAATAATTGCAAGATGACAAATCCATTTTAAATATGTGGCAGACTTTCAGCTATTTATGCTATACACAGTTATCCAATGACAAAGTATTTCTAGCTAAATTTTTCACCACATTGAGGCTTGCATTGAGGATGACTACTATAATTTCGTCATTCACGCAACTGTTTCAGAAGTATCAAGACATATTCCCACGGAGAACTTTGACATTCTACAACACATAGTTGCAAAGAACGGTACCAGTAAGATCGGAGTACCAACCTTCATCAATATAACGTTCGGACTGTTTCATAAGCTCGCCTATAAAAATCACGGTAGAAGTAGTGCCATCTCCACTAGTGTCGTCTTGTGCAACAGCGGTTCGTGCTATCATGATTGCTGTGGGATTTTGAATTTGCTGCAACCATATAAAACAAGTATGGACAGCACATTTAATCCTCCTTTTGAAATAAATGTCTTGTAGATGAATGGTTGTGAAGATTTTCCAATAGTTCTTTTTCAACGGGCTTACGTAATTAAAATGATATAAGGGGCATGTTAGAAAGTGAGCATCCATATCGACAAACCAGCAATTTAGGCGTTATTTCGCATTTATGCAGACCCCGATGGAGAAAAATCAATAATAACATGTCCGGTTCAATACATGCGCGGAAAAACAGTAGAGATAGGAGATCTAAGATAAGTAAAGGGTTTAGGGCAGAGAGCCGACCATTTCTTTAAGCAAAGTGTTGCCATCTTTGGTGAGCTTGATATCTCCGGCACCACCCACAAGCCTGGTCGGGTAGATACGAGCACAAATATGAGAAAGGGAAGCATGGAAGCAGATTTCAAAAGCGAAAATGACGAAGATCGAAAATAACGTCATACATTTTGATGGTTCCTTTAGGACCGAGATTGCTCTTGAGGACGTCTTGAAGGCCCTTCGCGGCGTTGATATTCATATGCAGAGCGGCGGATTTGTTGAGAACCTCTGCATTTGGGTTGAGTACTCTAAGCGACATCTTTCTGTTACTTGCGTGAGTGAAGGAGGAGAAGCAGAGAACAACAGAGTGAGGTAGAAATGGTTTAGGAGGGAAACTAATAAACTACGGCAAGCAACCGCGGGGCGAAAGGGTTTTAGGGCACTCCGTAGCCGAGTAATGATTGGGTATATAAATCCAAATTTCTTTAGATCCAACTTTCAAGACTATTCTTCAAAATAGTAAGTTTGAAGGCTATTTTTCATTAACCATCGATTATTTTCACTTCGTATGTATCTTTAAATTGTTTTGTTTTTAATGTTTAAAATTATATCGCCTCTTATATTTTTTAAGTTCCTAATTAGTTAATTACGTTAGAGTAGCCCGAGATAACTCGTGGCCCGATAGTAATCCACGCCCAACGAGCCCCAAAGCCAAAAAATGGCGTATAAAGGGTTTTGTCATGCTCGATTTGGTGAGTCGATAGTATACGGTCCTAACACGTATGTAAAAAATATATAAATAAAATGGTCAATTTTTCTGATCGAGTATGCTATCCACGACATATTCATACCACATACCTTCAGTCTAATACTAATTTGAGCATCAAAGTGCATTAGACATAGTACCACGCTCGAACAAGTGATTTGACATGTCGGTACAACTTTGTTATATACACGGTAATACATCAATATTCTATAGAACATAAATCGACTAAATTTACTTGGAGGCATGTTCAAGTAGACACGTTTATTTTGCTCGATCGCAATAAACAAGTAGAAAAAAAAGTCACAATTGTCCTCGTACTCGTACAAAACTAAAATGTTAAGAGGTTATCGAGATCACCGAAAATTAATTAATTAGATAACAAAATAAATAAATATGAAATATAAAATTTAGAGATTTATTAGACAAATTTTAATATTTAAGGACTTATTAATACGAACATACCCACCAACTAAAGTTGACGCGTTTTAGTTATTTGAAATATGAAATTTAAATTTAATTTGACGAGGACTAAATTTGTAATTTCAGTAAGGAATTGTAACGGGGCAAAAAGAAAGCAAGGCATTGGATTAAATGCCAGAACCTGGAATTTAGGTATAAGTAGTAATTATTTGACGAAATTACCCTTGAAGACATTTGAAAGCGTTAGATTGTTAGGGTTCCAATTCATTAGAGAAGGGAGGGTATAGAGTTAAAAATCCAAAAGCAGGACATTTTAACGAATTTGATGAGTATGAACCCGAATTACCGAAAATAAAAAAGTAAAAGAGAAATAAGGAAAAGACAGAGGGCGATCTCCGAACGATCCAGCTTCAAATGGTATTGACATGATTCAGACTGGACTTTGATTCACCGGTTTCAATCGATATAGAACTGCAACTCTGCACACTGGAGCAGCTCACTTCTTACCGATTTTCAGCTCACATTCTACAATGGTGAAGACCTACGTGAGAGAGAATGTGCCGCTCTCTCGTTTTGGTGTCTTGGTAGCTCAGCTCGAATCCATAGTCGCCTCCGCTGCTCAACAGCCTCCGGAGCCCCTTCTCTGCTTCGACCTTCTTTCCGATCTCATTTCCGCCATTGACGAAGAGCCCAAGGTTCACTCTATTTATTTCGCTGCTTTTCATTTTGAGTTCATTATCATCCATCTCGTTGTCTTTCGAATATATTTTATTGGTTTTGAGCTGCCAACTTTTATGTCAATAAGAGAAGACATTGAATTCTGCGATATTATGTGGATCTCAATACATTTGACATCAGAAATGGAATTATTATGCGCAGTCAGTTTCATTGTAACATGCTTCTGCTTTTTTCATTATCCATTCGGTCTTGCCACGGGTTGAAATCTCTGTCTTCATTGGCTATGGGGCTATGAAGTTCTAATTTCCCTCCGTGTCTATGGGGCTATGAAGTTCTAGTTTCCCTCCGTGTCTATGGGGCCATGGGGCTGTGAAATCTCTGCCCACGGGTTGAAAGGTTTGGGAAGCTTTTGGGAGGTATAATCTGAGTAACAACGGTGGTAGATGAAGATAAGGTTGTCACCAGTTGGAGGTCATCGTCACCGGACTTGCTTGAGCTTGACACCATTAAAAGAGATTAGAAAGAGCTTATAGCACTGTTCTATGTATGACTGGTAAGAACAAAGGAGACAATCACACAAAATGAGAGCAATGCTCACCTTCATAAATATTTAAAGAAGAAGTAACAGAAAAGGAATGCTTAATGTGTAAAAGATGCAATGAAGAAAATGAGAGAAAAAACATGGTAAATAATATCCTAACAATCTGCTTTTGCTTTCAATTAAAGTTCCAAAGAATGTAAGTTTGGTGGATAATTAAGCGGTAAAATTAACTTAAGCGCACTGAACTACCTCTTTGAAACAGGCCGAATAAATTCCTCCAATAGCACCGATTCAATTAAGTTTAGTTCATCATTTCCAATCTATTGATACAAGAAGATCCACTGAAAATGAGTTTTTCCGTAGTTAACATAACAGTGCTTTCGTATCTATACTATCTTCCTTGCTGGAAAGGACACTGTTCAAACAGTTTTAATGTCTCTGTCTAGTCATATGCTAACATAACAGTATCTTCTTTAACTAGAAATGACACTATTCAAATTTTTTTCATGTCTCTGTCAAGTCGTATGCTAACATTTCAAAATTAAATGCTGTCTGGAGTTTTTTAGTTTATTCATTTTCTGGCAATGCGAACATTTCAATATTTAATTAAATTTATTAAATGTTTGAAATGAACATTGCAAATTTCAGGAATCTATACTTTTGTGGCAAAGAAAATGCGAGGAAGCACTCTATTCTCTGCTCATTCTTGGTGCCAGACGACCGGTGCGTCATCTTGCGTCAGTAGTAATGGCAAGAATTATATCCAAGGGAGATACAATTTCAGTATATTCACGAGTTAGTAGTCTTCAAGGGTTTCTGTCTGATGGGAAAAGGAATGAGCCTCATAAGATCGCTGGTTTGTTACGGAAGCTTGAACTTGATTAATCTTAGATAATCGCAGTTAGGAGTGTGTTTCACATGCACATGCTGGAATGTGTATGTTTTATATTGAAATGTGTTCATAATATAAGAGGAGAAACTTTCCCCTTAATTACATATTCTTCGTTGAAATGTGTATGTTTTCTTGCTTTTTGAAAGGGTGAATGTCCTACAATCTGTGTTTTCTGTTGAGAGTAGTTTTATGCTATATATATATTTTTTTTCCAGTTGAAGCCATATAAAATTTTAACTTTTTGATGAAAGCTTTGTTTGTTTTGTTTGTTTGTTTTTTTTAATAAAATGTTTATTTTAAAGGAAAAAAATGCGGATTGACCTAACCATCTTCAGACTACCTTATTTTATTGGCATCCATCTCTGCTGAAGAGAACAAATTGATATAATTAGACATTCTTTGAAATTTTGATCTGTTAATCTCGTATTTCCTTTTATTTTGGTATTTATTTATTCTCAGAAAGATATATTTGCTTGAATTCTCATTTCTTATAAAAATTTGTATTTTAGAGTACTCATAATAGCAAATTTCTTCATGGATTTGGGCCTTCCTTTATTCTTGTGCTTGAAAGCTTTCCATGGGAATACCACTAGGTTTTTTAAGCTGTACCAGATTTATGCTTCACATCTTTAGAAATTTGTAACTTTTTCTTTTACTAACATGTCATCTTTATTATATCTGACCTTCATAGGCATTGCCCAGTGCTTGGGAGAATTATATCAGCACTTTGGGAGAAAAATCACTTCTGGTTTGCTTGAGACGACTATTATTGCTGCAAAGCTTATCAGATTTAATGAGGTTCCCATTAAATCCCATTGTCACCTTTCTTTAACATGATATTTTTCTAGTACATTCTTACAAACTTGCACTTATCAGTATGGCGATCCTGTTTTGTGAACTTTTTTTTTTGGGGGGGGGGGGGGGGNGGAGGTAGGGGGATGTGTGAGTACTTGTTTCGAGTAATTTTTTCCCCACATAAAATCATTGATTTCTTTTGAGTTGAAGCTGTTAGGTGATGTATTTTTGTTGGGCACATGCTTAAACACCGTAGCCTTCCAAGGAACTTCTCTTGGGATTACATTGGTCTGGACACACCATAATATTAATAATGTTTCTGTCTTCCTTCATTAAGCAATTAAGGAGTAATAATTGAGGGTTGCCTCAATTTTGGGGTTGTTCCTTCATTTAGACAGAAAACCGTCCTAGTGTGTCCAGACCAATGTACAAAAAGAAGTTCCATGCAAGGCTACGGTGTTTAAGGAGTAGCAATTGGGGGTTTCCTCAATTTTGGGGTTCTTCCTTTAATTAGTTATAACACTGACAACCGTTCTATTTGTATCTATTGTTTTCAACTGCCATTTTAAATTTTTGTTTAGGTTGAATTGGAAGGCACAAAGGAGCCTGTTTTTAGTAGTTTTTTGGAATAAATTTGTTCACTTTCATTGACTATCGAATTATAGTCCTAGTATCACACTCTTTCTTTGTTTATTTTGGACTATGTGAGTTGTGAGGCTATCGTTTTGTTCGTTTCAAATGAAAGCTAAAAAATTGTTTGGTTTTATTTGAAGTATCTCTCGTCTTATTTATATTTAATTATTTATTGTTTAAGGATTATTTGTGTTCCAAATATTAGGATTTTGTGAGACAAGAAGCTCTGCGCTTGCTTCAGAGTGCTTTAAAAGGATCGGGGGGTTCTGCAGCTGCTTCAGCATATACTGAAGCATTTCGTCTGATTACTCGTGTGGGCATTGGTGATAAATCATTCATTGTTAGAATAGCAGCTGCAAGATGTCTAAAGGCATTTGCCAACATTGGAGGACCTGGGTTAGGGGTTGGAGAACTTGATAATTCAGCCTCCTTTTGTGTAAAGGTAGCCATTTTATTCTTGTCGTGATATGTTTGTTTGTTTGTTTGTTTGTTTTCTTTTTTTTGGGTTTTTACTGATTACCACAACAGCAATATCGTTGTTTCTGAAACAATAGAGGAACTCCATGGCTGTGTTATATATGTCTAGATACAAGTAGTCCTCATTTTTAGTGATTTTAGTTTCCGATAATATTCAAGAAGATCAAATTCCTTCAATTATCAGATAAAATTGTTCTGGATGCTCGTTAGCAGCAGCAAGCTGGTACACATCATCCAATATTTTTGTATATGCCTGGCTGGATGTGCAGAGCTATAGATAGTTCTCCTGGGGAATCTATTGGGTAGGTGGCTTAAAGGGAAATCTGGGATTATTGGAAGAATGCTATAAGAGCTGTACTTTACATAATTTGGATAGAAAGCAACAATAGAATTTTGAAAGCGACTATTAAAGAGTTTTATTATTCTTGGAATGTTGTATGGCACACCGCATCTTCTTGGGCAACACTCTGGAAAACTTTTTCTTTGTTGTCCGTTAGTGTTGAGGTCCTCTCATAAAGTCCCCTTTTTGTTACTTTCGGGAGGTTGTATGGCAGACTGCCTCTTCTTGGGCTAAACTCTACAGAAGTTTTTCTTTATTTTACATTAGTATTGAGGTCCTTTCATAGACTCCCCCTTTTGAGGTTTGAGGAGGTGACCTCTTATCTCCTTGCTGTTTCTGTGCGTTCCTCCCTTTTTGATAGAAGGATATGCCAAATTTCTTTTATATAAGAAATTATACATTATGATATGCTGAATGTCTTATTGATAGAGTGATATGCTGTCTTTTATGAAAACAATTATTATATACAAATTCTATTAATAGAATGTTCCTTCAAGACATTAACTAGTTTTATAATCTATTGTTATCTTTCTCTTGTTTGCATATGTACTTCGGGCTTCTATGATGTTTTGGTTCTCATACTTTTATATGTAACTAAGTCATTATACTTGAAAGAAAAATAATAGATGAAGAGATAGAAAATTGTTCCAATGCTCCCAAAGGCTAACCAATAAGTCATTATACTACTAAAAAATGTAACAATTATGTCTAAGTTAAAATTTTCGTTAAAGAATTGGTTGTGGGCTTCAGTCTTGTCGGGGAATTTTGTAACTACCTATTAAGTTTTATTCTTCTAGATTGGAGTCTTTTTTGCGATTGGACTCCTTTTGTTCTATTTTCTTAATGCAAGGAATTTTGTAATTATCAGCTAAGTTTTGTTCTTCTGGATTGGAGTCTATTTTTGCTTAGGGTTTATTTACCGTTGAACTCCTTTTGCCTTTTTTTTTTTCCTCATAATTTTTTTTATAATGTCCTTGTATATTCTTTCATTTTTCTAATGAAATCTTGGTCACTCGTTAAAAAAAATTGTATTTATGAAATAAGACCAAGTGAATGAGGAATGAAGTTGACGAACCTCTTATGATCTGAAATTGAAAGTGGTTCAGTATCTACCCGTTTGTATACTTCAATTACTAAAAGATTTTAAATATCAGGAACCTTTTGAAATGTACGGACTAAGTTGTCATAGAAAAAGTAAACGACCAAAATGTTGCCAACTAAAAATGTGTTTTAATCATTAATTTAATTTTAGTTGGGCAGGTTTACTTATCAGTGCTTGCATTGGCTACCTCTTTATAATATCATTGCATGATGGGTTTTTAGTATCTTAAGTTGGGTGGAGAAGTAGAAGTAGAGGAATCTAAAGGGTGTTAAGGAACCCAGAATAACATCTAATAATGCATTTATTCTTTTGATAACAGAAAATCTTAAATGGGTTGGGGACCCTTTCCTTTTCTTGAAGCTAAATATAAAGCATCCTTTTGGTTTTTGTTTTCTTCTTTATTTTGTAACTGCTCTTAATTTTTTTCTTCCAAATTTACTTTTTTTAATATTTAATATAATTTTGGAAATTAGTTAGTCACGTTAAATGGGACTTGTTTACTCTTTCCCCTAAATTGGTTTTTTTTTTGGTATTTTAATATAATATTGGGAATTAGTTAGTTCAAATGGGGCGCACTTACTCCTTTATTGTAACTTTTCAATCATCAATGAAAAGTTCTGTGTCCTTCACAATATATACTGCCTGTATATTTCTATCTTCTACATCTACAATGTTCTAGTTATCTTTCCAAATGGTTTGGCTGAATCAAACAGGCCTTTGAGGATCCAATTTCATCCGTCCGGGATGCATTTGCCGAAGCTCTGGGTTTGTTACTGGCTCTTGGAATGAATCCTGAAGCTCAGGTATATAAGTTATTTGTTATGTAATAATCCTTGCTGTTTCTGACCAATTTATCTCGTATGTATATAAGTGTTATTGTCTTTAAAGTTAATAGTTCATGTCCTACTAGGTCCAACCAAGGGGAAAAGGTCCCTTCCCTCCAGCAAAGAAGCTAGAAGGCGGTTTACATCGGCATCTATCTTTGCCATTTAGTAAAGGTATACCTATACTTTCTACTGCGTGGGTTTACGCCAGAACTAACTACCTATATCGGCCTTTCCAAGCCGCAGCCCACACATACTCTTACTCATTCATCTCTCCCCCTTTTACTCTTTTTCTTCTTCCAAGATTAGCAATCGTGGGCCTATCCTACACCTCTCCACTGTTTTTTTTCCTTTTTTTTATATTTTCAATTTTTTTTTTTTTTTTTTTTTTTTTTGTGGAAAACTATGATTCCTTTGAAGAAATTACAAAAGAATGCAACTCCTGTTTCAAAGGAATTACAAAAGTACTTCCATTGATTGGTCAAGAGGAATAAGATTATAGCTGTGAAAGCAAGGAGAGAATGTACACCAAGAGAGAGCCATGTAAGGCAAGTGCTAATAAAAGCAATCAAAATCAGTAGCTTACGACTTTATCCTCGAAGATGTGATGATTTCTTTCCTACCAATGACCATAGAAAGGCTCTGATAAATTTCTTTTCAGTTTCCCGTAAAAAAGCATAGAAAGGTCGGATAAAATTTAACCAAATAACTTCCCTTTGTTTTAAAAAAGGATGATCAATGAAAACCAATTCCAGCAGTGTTATAGGATCTCCTGGTAGGGCAGTGGACCAATTGAAAGCCGATAGGACGTCCTTCCAAAAAGCTCCAGGAAAAGGACAGAATATAAAAAGGTGCAGTAGGGTCTCTCCATTCTTCACCAATTTGGCGATGTAGAAAGCCATGAGCCCTCCTCTGCAAAATATCAGTAGGGGCACCCATGACTAGGCTCCCAGATGAAATTTTTTATCTTCTTTGGGAAGGACCCCTTCCACAGCTGCAAGTATTTCTTCTCTTAATGGTTGCTGTTTGTTTCTTATTAATTTTCTCTATTCAGCAAATAAAGATATTGAACTCTCAAATTTTTGAAAAATGTTTATTTTAATTTCATTGCCTGTTTTGCATAACGAATCACATTGCAGCAAATGGACCACGGTTGAAGGAAATTCGTGTTAGCCTTACATTATCTTGGGTGTTCTTTTTGCAGGTTTGTGCTCACTATTATCTGCTGTAGTAGATTTTCCTTCATTTGTCCTTTTTCCTTCGGTTCGAGATAGCTTTTGAATGTTTTTGGGGTTTGGAAGACTAATTCATAAGAATTGAATTCTTAGATGTTTGAAAGCTTTATGTTAATTCTTATTCAAGTTTAATCAATTCTTAATTTAACTTTTCACTCATGTTTTCTTTTCTCGCGGCTTTTGATCTAGTATAATTTGTTTCTCTTCTTATGATGTGTCACCATGAATCTAAATTTCATTTCAGTGTTGGTTTTAGTTGAATTTGTTTGCTGGCTTATTTAGCACTGATAATTTTGATAATGTTGGTTTTACTTTCACTTCTCTGTATCATTTTGCCTTACAGATTTGGTGCACTTGTTAATTATACTTACATATATTTTATGGATTTATTCACACCATATAAAATGTCTTGTAGGCCATTCGTCTCAGATATCTGCATCCAGATACTGGACTCCAAGACTATGCACTGCAGGTTATGGACATACTTCGGGCTGATACTTCTGTGGATGCCCATTCACTGGTAATTGCTGAAGTTTAGTTTATGTACTATCCATAATTATTACTTTTAGGCTTAGGCTACATCGTATGCCCAGGTGGAAGTTGTCAATCCCCCAATTTTTCTTTCTTCGGTAATGGACATCAACAATTTATCAGAGGAGTCAATGTCCTGCTCTAACAAGGACACAAAAATTTGAGGGGCAGTTCTACCATCGGAAAAATAAAATGTATGAGGAGTTTAGGAACACTGAAGAAAATTGAACTTCACTCGTCTCAATTAATTGTTCAATGTAACATTTGATAGATAAGCATGAAATCTAACCTTTTCCTATAATGTACCAGCTCACTCCCCAAGGATTTAATTTTTTTGAATTTGAATGAGATAAGAATCTAAGAGAACAGTTAACAAAAAAAAAAAAAAAATCCTATATAAAATAAATAACAGCTAATGAATACATATGAAACCTTAATATCGTCCTTGTGATCTTGATAGTTGTTTAAAAAAAAAGTTTAAATAGAGAACCACATAGAATAGGTATATAGTACTACTTTTGCTGCTGTATTAGAGTTAGGCACTAGCCCTCTGAGTTGATTGACTGACTTCTTTTATTTTTCTGTTTGCTGTAGGCTTGTGTGCTCTATATTCTTAGGGTTGGCATTACTGATCAAATGACAGAACCCACCCAAAGGAGCTTCTTGGTTTTTCTTGGAAAGCAGGTTGACAAAATTTATTTGAATAGTGGTTTTGGTGCTATCAATACAGAGTAGATTAATGTTCTCGTCTAAATCAAGTAGTCTATTGGTGTGTGTGCTTCTTATTATATTTATAATGGGTCAGTTTTCTGGAAATTTGACAGCTGCAATCTGAAGATGCTAGCCCTTCAATGAAGATTGCTTGTTTGCGTACTTTGTCTTATACTCTGAAAACTTTGGGAGAGGTAAGGCACGACTGTATTTTTGAAGGATTACTTTTTCTATGTAAGAAAAGTTGCTATAACTTTTAATGAAATCGTTGCTTACTGATAACCGGTGTAAATTTTATAATCATTCCAACGACTTTATTCATATGCTATTTGTGCTAGTTAGAGGAGAAGATTTTTGTTGTTCTTCTTTGTAGGGCTTTGCTCTCTTCTCCCCTTTTCAATTTCATATTATTTATAAAATCATTTCTTATAAAGAGAACAGGGGTTTGAGCCTCATCACAGGTTTACCAGTTTTAACTAATTAGGGCAGTCTTTCTTCCATGTAGTTTGATCTCTTAATCAACAATTAGATTACACTTCTGCTTGTAGCATGCACTTATCCATGGCTTTTGTGCAGTACGAATAAGGTTTTTACTTGTGCCCAACGAGAAGTTGGTCAGACTTCACTAAAATAAAAATAAAAAAAGAAAAAAGAAAAGAAATAGAAGTTGGTCATACAGTGCTAGATTATTTTTATGCAGGTCCCATCTGAGTTTAAGGAAGTACTTGACAGCTCAGTTGTTGCTGCGGTTTCTCATTCCTCACAACTTGTAAGTTCTAAATATTGTTTGTAGTTCCAGTCTGAACATTCTGTTTTTATGCTTACCCGTTTTAACTTATTTATTTTCTTAGTGATCATGGAAGGATTCAACCTTCATGCTCCACCTATTTTTCTCTCCCTTCACGATTTCCCTAAAACTTGTATGATATTGGATTAGTTTAGATAACTCCTGCTCAGTAAGCTACGATGGTTTGCATCATTTGACAGAATTTTTTAGCTCTGATTACACCTTATTGAGCTGATTCTTTGAATTTCTGCCCACCATGCAAGATAGCTTTACCCTTCAGATTACGACTGCAAAGTTCACCGGGTTGAGCAACCAACAATAGAAGCAATCTATGACGTTGTTCTATTAGGTGATATAATAGATGGAACAACTTGCTTTGGGTGGAAGATGGCTCCTATCTGGTGTAGCCTAAGTAACAAAAGGAGAACTCTCTCCAGGAATCAATCACAATCTTTATTATGAATCAAAATATTCATGAATACATGAGAGAGATTCTTTTATAGAGAATTAATAAGAAAACTAAGTATTAAATATACAAAAGATACTAAACGGGATTAACCAAAGAATTACCCAATATTAATATGAATTTACTACTAATCCTACTGCATCATACTTAATCCCTCCCAAAAAAACCGACCTTGAGTTTTAAGAAGAAAAGGAATATAGGAGGAAAAAATCCAATGACCTGAATCGAAATGGCCTTTGATCAATGTGGGTGAAGTTGGTCTCGTTATTCCAATGATGCTTCTTTCAATGATTTGAAAAAAACTCCTAATGAAAATGTTTGCCCGCTCAAGTCTTGCACTTCAACTTCATGAAACAATTGAGCCAATGAAAGATATGAGAAATTCAGAATATTACCCCAATGCAATTTTGTCTTTGATGGCTGCGATTTGTTTTTATGCCCTCTGAAAAAGAAAACTAATCAATAAAAACACAAAAGATACTAAAATGGATTAGCTAAGGAAACCCAAAATTAATATCTCAGAGCATTAGTCTCTTTTCATTTATTTAATGAAAAACAGTATGTTTTTCTCAGAGCATTATACTGTTTTCCTGTTAAAAACAGTATGTTTACCATTAATTCTACTACATCACCATCAATAATAACAATGTTTTAAAAGGCACTCCTAAACGCGCGCCTAGGCAGCTGGCATGGGTCTCAAGGTGAGGCGCACAAAGGAATGCGCGCCTTCTTTGAAGCTCTAAGGCCCAAAGCTTTCGGCTGTAGTTTTTTTTTTCATTACTTTTAGAAAATAATAATTATTAGGGTTTTTCTTCTTTATTAATTAAAAAAATAAAACCCTAAATGCAAAAATCCTTGTTTTTATGGTTTATTTATTTATTTTTCATATTCCCACTTCAGTTATGCTCTCTATTCTATTTTCTAATCAAAGAAAATTAGTAAACAAGGTAGTAGTATATTAATTGCACACTTTTGGTTTCGTTCTCTAGTTCACTCCTTTTAAGAGCTTGTGTCCCTTGAGCATTTGTCTTTTCGAGAATTCTACATTGAAAAAATGAAGAGACTTCATAATCTATATTAGATATATGCTCCACTCGTTGTCAATTGGTTTTGAGATGAGACTCATGTCTATCTAGTATTGTATTAGAGCAGGAGGTCCTATTTTTGAAATAATATAATGTCATTTCCTTCTCCATTAATATTGAGTTTCATTTATTGGCCTTTTGAAAAATATTCAAGTCCACAAGTGAGGGAGAGTGTTGAAGTATTGATATTATTAAATTTACCGTAATCTATAAGCTTAAACTTTTGGATTCGTGAGTGATTTGACAAGTCTTTATTCAATGAAAAGTTTCGTTTATGGTTTTGAAAAAATTGCATACTTTTGGTTCTTAAGTACACATTTGGTTCAGGTACGCATAGAAGCTGCTCTATCATTGCGCACATTGACAGAGGTTGATCCTAACTGTGTTGGTGGGTTATTTTCTTATGGAGTGACCATGCTAACAGCTCTAAGAGAGAATGTTTCGTATGAAAAGGTGCTACTACCTCCATTTATACTACTTCCTAATTGGTACTGCTAACTATTCAATTCTTCACTCACCACAACTTCAATTGTAATAATTTTCTGGTTTCTTTGCATCCGTAATTTATAGATTTACTCTCTGTTTTTCCCTCTCGATTTTCTGTGTGCCTTTATTCAAAACTTGCTGTGTAGTGTATTTGGAGGCAAGGAAGCTGTTTGAATTCGATCAATGACCTATTTGCTACCTAACTTAATCTTATATTTAATTGATTCATAACAATTTATGAGGAAAAATATATTATGCATCTTTAGTCTTTGGAAGTTGCTAATTTTGATTGGGTGCTGATTGGCATAATCATGCTTGTCTATGCCCCTGATAGCCTCTAGCCCTCATACTTCCATTCTATGTATTTCCTTGGCATGTTATTTTACTCATGCTAACCTCTGAATCAGCTTTTGTGCTCTTTCTTGATAATGTCGGTCCGTTATTCTGTTTCAAATTTGAGTATGGGCGAAGGTTATTTGTGGAAATTCAACCTTTTAATGATGTTTCTCTTTTACAACATTCTCTGACATTTGCTAACCGATATATTCCTGAAACACATTATAATTCTCAACGGATTCATTGTTGAAAAGTACTAAGCATGTGCTTTACTAGTTATGGTTTTGATTGTTGATTGGTTTTACGTCTAACTACAGAATTACAATTTGCAATTGGAGCTCGATTCCTTGCATGGTCAAGCTGCTGTATTGGCAGCTTTAGTGTCTGTATCTCCCAAACTACCTCTCGGTTATCCAGCCAGGTAACTTTCCTTTTGCATTCATTCAAAGTCGGTTGTAGATGTTTCTTTAACTCTTAATCAAATTTTGACTTCTGATTTCTTATCCAAAAAAAAAAAAAAAAAATAAATAAATAAAAGAAAGGAAAAAGAAAATGCAGACATCCTGCCTTTTCTGCCTATTATAGAGTTCAATACTCGCTTGTTCTACCTTGAGACTCAGTTGTTTGCCACATGTTTGTATATGAGTGAAAATGCATCTCTCTCGATCAATTTCTGGTGTTATAAGCGGTCTCAGTTTGTACAAAATTTCTTGCTTGAGCACAAAACATTTCTTTATATATGGAGTTGTTGTCCTAGCATATCTCTTGACGTTTCTGTCAACATTTCTTCAAATTTGAGCTTTTGAAATTTCTGTTAACCTCAATAGCGTTTTGTTTGGCACCTCTTACACAAACGAGGTAATATCATTCTCAATTCCTTTTCTCATGACCAGATTTCCTAGATCAGTGCTTGAAGTATCAAAGAAAATGCTGACAGATCCCTCCCGCAATCCTGGTGCTTCCACTGTCGAGAACGAAGCTGGATGGTTACTTTTATCATCATTATTAGCTTGTATGCCTAAGGAGGTAGACAGTGACTGCCAGGTTTTGTTTTTTACTAATTTCTGCTACAAACGTGTAAGTTGCGTTTTTTGGTGCATAAAGGAACTTGAAGACCAGGTTTTTGATATTCTTTCCTTGTGGGCTGCGTTTTTTACTGGAAACATGGAACATGAAATCAAGCAAACTGAAGATTTGACTTCAAAGATATGGTAAGCCAATTTGGAAATTTTGTTTGGAAAGGACCAACGTTTCTTGAATTGTGATGATGAATATTACTGATCAGTTGTGACATCCCTATTATTTGTTCGCCAGGATTTTTTATATCTGCTTTAGGATGATGTCTTCTCATGTTGTGTGTATTTTCCTATTACAATGGAAACCGTGTATTGTTTGCCTAAAGACATTTTAAATTACAAATCCATCATTTCATTATGTTTTGATGATAATTTTTAAGCCAGTTGATATTTCACATTGCACACACATCACTAAAGTATTTCCTGATGTTGGTTTCTAAGTTTGTTATATTACATGTCCATGGCAGAGTAAATATATTGATACAATAATGAAGTTGGTAGTTAATGGTTTCCTTGTGTCCGTTATACCTAAATTCCTTGCATTGTTTTTATAAGGTCATGGGCATCTGGGTTGCGATAGTTGCACTTGCAATTAAGCTTTCATATATATATATATTTTTTATCTTAACATAGGAGTCACTGAATGTATTTTATGTGGGAGAATCCTGATTATTGTTAGCTAAGGTTGAAAGTGCGATGATATCGCAATTGTCAAAAAGGAAAGTTGAACAAATCAAATGTTACCTTCCGAAGAGAATTTCTAGATTTAATGCCTGATGTTAGAATTTCTTTTCTTTTTCTTCCCCACAATATTGGATCTGTAATTTCAGATCTATGTAGTATACGTTTGGATGCTTACAAAAAAAAAAAAAAAAAGAATCCAAGAAAAACAAAAGAAATCTGCAATCCTTAATACTTGACGAGCTGGAGACGTGGAAGTTTTAACATTAAGAAGTTTGAGCATAACTTCTGATATTTAGAAGGCTCTAGCCTTAAAGGTTATGTAAAAAGGACACTTTTGATTGATATTTTTGTGAAATTCAAATATTAAAGTATTCTTCCCCACTAACTGTTTACAAAGAAGTACCCCAGTTAGAATCATTTACAATAGGAACTAGATAAGAAACATGTTAGACCTTGTAAAAGTAATGTTCCAATTTCATTGATTAAGGAAAAAATTACAAATTCATGGCTTTTAAAAGAGGCTTTCGATTGTAAATTAAGCAACCGGCTTCCCTCCCTCTCACTGGCTTCTGCCTTAATACCGACTGTATTACCAAAGGTCACCTCAAACATTGGCCCACCCTCTCAGCATAAGTACCTTGCACAAGCAACTCTGACACATAAAAAACTCACGCTTGGCATAACCATACCAAACTATTGCTTGGTGTCTGGGTTTTCCTGTCCTTTTGACGGAGAGGCATTTAATGTTGGGAGTCAACTTATCAGTGCATCTCAATGATTACATACTACGATGATATATAGAGGCTGCTTCTTGAAAATCAATTCAATAAAACTAAAAGGGGCTTTCAGATTAGTAGGGGCAAGCTGTAAACTTTTTAAATACTTTTTGTTTTGCAAAGTAAGTATTGAGGACAAGTGGATCTATTAAAATAAGACAGAATGATAACCACTTATGAAAAATAGGGAAACATTCAGAAATTCCTTTTACGAGAAAACAAATAATTTTAGTGTTAAATTTTCTTCCAAATTTTTGTTTCACTTTGTCTTATGATGTGATTTGATCCTTCTTTGTATTCTCTTCTTTTCCACTCTTTTTGGCGTTTATATCTTATGAGCATTAGTCTCTAGGAAAAATTTCTTCTCTTGCTCAAAAAAAAAAAACTGTTCACTAAAATATTACTATTCCTTTGCTTTCAACTGTACCAGAACATTTAGCCACGATCATTTCCCATTATTTTAATTTTAATTTTTTTACATGGAAAAAGCTATTCATTGATTGAGGAAAAGGAAGATACCATTTTCCTTTTACATTCTTAAGTGATACAGTGATACTCCTCCTCATACTAGTGTACTTTATTTAGAATAAGACATTTGAATAATTTATTATTTATGGGTAGTTTGTTGAAAGAATAATCTAGTTATATCTACTTACATAGTTTTCTTAATTTTTTTTGCAGTGTTTGGTCTACTGCCATTGATGCGCTTACAGCATTTATTAGATGCTTCATTTCTCCAAATGTCCAAAGTGCTGGGGTTTTTCTTCAACCAGTGATTGTTTACTTGAGCAGGTTGGTTTCTTTAGTTTTAGTTAATTTAAATTATTTTAATATGGATTCCCAAATATTTTCTTCAATTTCATGCACAAGCGTGTTTTAGCTTTTTATCTAAATATTCTTGCAATTGAATGGAAAGCAGAGTTCTATCCCATATTTCATTATTAGCGATCAAGGATCTAGCCAGTTCGAGACCTGCGTTAAACATCTTGATCATAAGGACGTTAATTGCTTACCAGTCTCTTCCTGATCCCATGGTGTATAAAAATGACCACTCTCAGATTATTCAGCTATGCACAACTCCTTTTAGGTAACGAGCACCTTCAGTTGATGGTGGTGTTATCATTTCCTCTTTAGTTTAAATTTTTCCTTCAGTATTATTGATGTGACAGTTTGCTCCTGCTTGTCCGGTTAAATTGAAAGGGATGCATCTGGATGTGAAGAAAGCTCGTGCTTGAGGTTACTACTTGACAGACGAGATGCATGGTTGGGTCCATGGATTCCTGGAAGGTGATATAGATTAATTTCTGCTGATTCTGATAATCTGTTTTTCTCCGAACTATTTAACTTGGAGTTTTTGAGTTTTAGGTTCCCTTTATATTTTCTTACAAATTTGATTAGGTTGAATTATTTCATACAGTGGTGGACTTGCCTTTTTGAATGATTTTACCTTCTAGTTCTGCCTTCAAAAGGACAAAAAAAAAGGAAAAAGAAAGATAAAAGCTAGGAATTAGTTTAAGGGCTGTCCTTAAAAGAGAGTTCTCCCTTTTATTGTTGACGTAGGGATTCGTTCGAGGATGAGCTTCGTGCTTTTCAAGGGGGAAAAGATGGGCTTGTGCCTACGATATGGGAAGATGAAATTTCAAATTTTGCTCAGGTACTTATCTTTTTCCACCTCAATTTTTTTAAGAAACAAGATTCAAATGTTCAAAGTTTATCAACTCTAAAAGTGTAATAAAATAAAAATCTGAAAGCATAGATGGTATAAAAGAAACTCAAATCATACAAATAACCCTGAAAGGATCATAATTATTTTCCTTCCGCTTGTTTCTATTTTATTTTAGTCTAGGTCATTTTTTCTCTACGATACCTTTACAATCTGTAAAGGAATTTATCCTCAATATTGGAATCCTTATTTACAACTTTCCCCCACCTTTTCAGCTTCAATTTCAAGTTTCTATTCATGATTGTAATATTCTTTTTTCTATTGCCACAATGGAGAAGTCTCACTGCTAAGCAGTATCTTGCTTTGTATTTTAAATGATGAACTCCTGTTTATAGCTTCTTTGTGATGCTAATTCAATAGAAGAACGAATGAATCCTACATTTGATTATTTCCCAAGAACATGAATGCCAATCGGGTTAGAGACTGTCAGCCAATAAACCTTGTCTCATCTTTTTACAAAATTACAGTCAAGGTATTAGCGGAAAGGCTTAAAAAGGTGCTCCTTATTTTACTTGATGAAAGTCAAAATGACATTTATTGAAGCAGATTTTAGATTAATCTTGATCACTGCTGAGACTGGGAAATTTCAGTTATCAGATACTTCTATCATGGATGTTGGAAAATTTCTGTGGGGTTTCTTCTTCTTTAGATTTTGTTTCTTGATTTCCCCTTCATTATTCTGCATTTCGGGCCTTCGTTTTTCCTCTCTGAAAATTTATTTTGAACATGAAGCCAGAGACAATAAACAAAATATTGGTGAACCAGATGCTTCTGTGCTTTGGGGTTATCTTTGCTTGTCAGGTTTGAATTGTCATGACTCAATTTGGATTTTTAAATATGTTCCAAATTATGGCGTTTCCTTATGTAATTAACATGATTGTATAACTAAAACCAGGACAGCAGTGGAATGCTGTCCTTACTTGGAGTCATGGAGCAGTGTCTGAAAACCGGAAAGAAACAGCCATGGTATTCTGCTAGCGTCACTAATATATGTGTGGGGCTGCTTGCAGGTTTCAAGGTAATGATTATGTTCTCATATTTGTTCGTGTAGCTTTTTGAGACGTTGAGATTTACAAATGAACCAATAAATTTTGTTAGGCGCTTCTGTCTTTGCGTGTGCCATCTGTAAGCCTTGAGATTTTAAGTTCTGCCCAGGGTATTTTTCAGGTAAACTTTTTTTGTTTGTTTATGTTGTATTCCTTCGATGTTTTAGGATTTGTTTACTTTGTCTCTTTCTTAAAGATTTTGATTTGAACAGAGTATTATAGCTGCTGGAGACATTTGTGCATCACAACGTAGAGCTGCTGCCGAAGGTCTTGGGTTATTGGCCCGTCTTGGGAATGACATTTTCACTGCAAGAATGGTATACTCCTTTTCAATTCACACACGAACTTCTCTATGTATTAAGGATTATGCCACAAAGGTGGCATTCTTTTATTTTTCGAATTTACCCTGGTCATCTATTTTCATTAGATCTGCTCTTTATCAGTCTTACATGTTATATAAACAGATCAGGTCGCTACTTGGTGACCTAACTGGAATGGCAGACTCTGCTTATGCCGGATCAATTGCTTTGGCACTCGGCTGCATACATAGAAGGTTGGTAGTTAAAAGATCCTCTGAACTCCCCCAAAATTATTCTTTTTAGCCTTTATTGGCTTTGAGAATTGTATACTGTATTAAATCAACAGTTTCAATTTGAGCATACTGATCGTGTTCCATCTATTTGATTTATTTATTGTTCTAATTTCTAGTTTTTGATAGGAACAAATTTTTGAAACATAATGAACAGGGAGATTAAGTTGTTTCTTATTAAAAAAATGAATAGGAAGTACCCCTTTTATTTATTGTTCTAATTTCTAGTGTTGTTGGCTGATAAGACTTGTCTTTGTGAATTGCGTCACATCGTCTCGAAGGTTTGCCCAATAGTACCCCTTTTAAGAAGGGCGTAGGTTCTCTGTCACCTATGTGACTTGCACAGAGTGTCGTGGCATTCCTTCAGTAGAAATCTCCCAAGGTTCCCTGTTTAGGGAACATACAATCGATTTCCTTTGGTAAGAAGTAGGGAAAACTGGCGGGTTTTCCCTCCTTGGCCAACTGCATGATGGCCTGGGTGGCCAAGTCTTGGCCACCACTCAACTTGCTTGCCTATATAAGCTAGCATACATAGGAAGAATTAACGACTAGTCACATCCCCCATATAACATCCTTGATGTGACTAGTCGTCAATTGTAATTATCCTCTTTCTTTAATCTTCTTGAAATGGAAGCCATTTTGTCAGTACCTTTCTTGGTCTACCGCATGTTTCTTATAAAAAAAATACACCAGACTTACTGAGTTACCAAGGGAAATGAATAAGCAAGTTATCTAAGTTATTTTCCAAGGTTAATACGCAACACACACCATCAGGTAGATACGATAGTGTCCTCTTGCTTTGGCTTTTGTGAGGAATGATCCGACTTGATCAAGTTTCTACAGATAAGACTTAAAGAAGTTGATCATCTTTTTCCCTGTTCAAAATTATTTTATCAACGTTCTCTTATGGTCTCATGTGGTCTGCAAGTGCTTATGTACTTCTCTGTCTAAAAATTCCTCACCTATGCGTTTTCCTTTACTTTCAGTGCAGGAGGGATGGCTCTGTCAACATTAGTTACAGCAACGGTGAATTCAATATCTATGCTAGCTCGAAGTTCAGTTACCAGTTTGCAGACATGGGCTTTGCATGGACTTCTTTTGACTATTGAAGCTGCTGGCTTGTCCTATGTATCCCAAGTTCAGGTGTTCGACTTATGGTTTGAGCATTCTTAAAACTTGAATCTTCGTTTCTAACCTGATCTCTGTTACATTTTATCTTTGTACTGCCGTTTCCCCTCTTTGTTAGATCCCTCGTAATTTTTGAATTTTTGTTGGGCTCTATTTTTTACTTTTTTTTTTTCATTGGTTGTTGTCTCAAATTCACTGTCTATATTTTTTAACTTGCCTTTACGAAAGTTTTGCTTTCATTAGAAAGGGAAAAGAGCAGTAAGTCTTTTCCAATAAAAAGATCCAAGTATTTGAACTTGAGATCCTAGCGTGAAGATTAGGAAAACGAGGAACATCCTGATAAAGAAAAACTGTATCAAAGATGAACACAAAAGACATGGGAAATAAAATTTTAAGCCACACAAGATCGTCGTCCTCCAGACGGTTCTGAAAGTCACTTGAATTAGTTTGTTTCCAAATATACCAAATGATTGGAAAAATAGAAAAACTAAAGGGAACCTTCTTTGTTGGATTTGCCCAAACTGTTTGACCTAATTGATTCTGAAAATGGAAAATAGCTCATCTCATAAGTCATAAGCCACTGAACATTGAAATTAGTGGTAATCACCATTCATACCATCTTTACCTCCCAAAACTGAAAACTGCAGTCTGCAGACGTAATGTGAATTTGGGGGTGTGTAATCCATACCCCATCCATACTTGCACTATCACTTGCCAATTAAAAGCACAATTATAGAGACTAACAAAGTTATGAAAATTGTGGTGGGATAGATTCTTTCTTGCAGAATAGAGAATTCGCTTACTATCTGGTATTTAATTTCTACAAACCTAAGATGTTGAAGATTAATCATTGGACTCTTAGAAAAGAGATGAAATAGAAGCATCATGAGAAGTACTTAAACAAAATGTTTTCAAACCAAATATCCGTCTAAAATCTAATAGGATCAAGCAAGCCAATAGACAAGCAATCATAATTTCACAATTTAGTTTACCTGTGGAGATTAATTTTCAAGGACTCCTACGAGACTTTCCAGAACCAATGTTGATCGCCTGTATTAGTTTGAACCCAGTTCTTGTTTTAAATATAGTTTTATACTGTTGGAAGTCTTCTTGGAATACATCAAATTGTCAATAGCTTGCCCACTGCTGCAAAGAGTTCACTACTCGCGGTTTAAGAAGGAGCTAATTTTGTTGTCTTGTTTAAAATGGTTTATATAAGTAGTCCCACAAGAGATATTATTGTTTTTTTTTTTGTGTGTTGATGGGAGAGAGCTTTGAGGATTTACATATCTTTGAATCCATGTGTAATAAACAGGTTCTGGTGGACTTCGATCACATCTTGTGGAGGAGGAATCTATAGACTTCTATCTTGTTTTTAGCCCCTAGTTAGGTTTTTGTATGAATTACGTTCTTCTGAATTTTCATTTTGAAATTTTTTTGGGTGGGGGGAATTCCCTTGCTGGAATTTTCTCGTCATCCTTTCATTGTTTGGTTAGGGATGAATAGGTGGTCTTTTTGAAGCTTTTTTATTACATGTATACATTTATATTACTTGAAATGTTTTGGGCTTTATTTTCTGAGGCCATTTCTTCTATTCTTCTGTTCTTATTTCTTTGAGGGCCCTTCTGTTTGGTGTAGATGGGTACCAATTGAAATAATTTGAAAAATAAAGTTCAGAAATCAGAGTGAATGGTTTCTTGTTTCCCAGTGAGTAGGATAAAACTAAAATGATAATGGAAGTTGGATGAAAATTGATGAAAGCTGGATTCTCATGTGGAAAAACTTTAGCTGTATATTTACAGAATGCTGCAGATTTTGCGACTCACTGGCCGTTAAAAACAGCAGCTGGAAAGTTAAATAGGTAGTCAAATTGTTTGGTCGTTTTCTATAACCACCTTGATCACTCTAGCGTAATGGCTACCATAGTTATGGAACCAGTTGGGAATTATGAGCAATTTCAGTAACTAACTAATTGACAATATTATTTTTTTTGTTAGATCCTTCTCATCCTCAGGTTGATTATACGATACTAGATTTGTGATATTGTTTATCCAAAGAAATACTAAATTCTGATATTGAATTCTCGGTGGAGAATCCTCTCATTTAGTGCTATAATTCTTGGACATTGAACTATTAATTTTATTGATACAGCTTGCAATTGTTTCCATTTTCTTTTTCCCTGCATTATGCTTAATTATCTGAATGACTTTTTGTTACTTTCTTCCTGACAAAGTTTATTTTTATCTGTTTTAGGCGACTCTTAGCCTTGCACTGGATATCCTTCTATCAGAGGAGAATGGATTAATTGACCTTCAGCAAGGAGTCGGTCGCTTAATAAATGCTGTTGTTGCTGTTCTTGGTCCTGAACTGGCCCCAGGAAGCATTTTCTTTTCACGTTGCAAGGTATTACTTGTCTTTCAACTTTCTTGACCAAGCTTAGGTTGATACATGTTATTTAATTGGAAGCTGGAATATTTATTGGCGTAAGGCTCAAACTAAGAAAAGAAGGGAGAAAAGTTAATCCCTCACCGAAGAGGATCAAGATACATTCATATAGCATAAAAAGAAAAGGCAGCATGCAAAAGAAAGCTGGACTCAGCTCTCCTCTGTACTGTTTCTTGTCCTTCATTCTTGTCTTTGAAAATCATACTCAAAGGCAGCTCAAAGTAGTTGTTGGACATAGCTTAGCTGAGGATAAAAAAAGGAACAAACCACCTCTAAAACAAAATTATGGAAGTAGATGTCATTGAAGTTCCTACTTTTTGATAAGAAAAAAATAAAAGAATACACGACGAGCATACAAAAAGAGAAACCCACATAAAAGAACCAAACTACAAGAAAGAGTTCTAGTAAAGAGAAATAAGACCTTGCGAATTATTACAAAGGAGCCTAGAAACAGAGCCCAAAGAGAGACAAATAATCTAATTAAGACCAAATATCGCTATAAATTTTATTTTTGGGACAAGAAATTTTCATTAATATAATAAAACGAGACTAATGCGTAAAATTATTTGTCTATAGTGGGTGGATGCAACGTGCCAGAAAATTTTAAAAATTACTTGACTATGGATGCAACGTCAGAATCTATTTTTCATATTTTTCCACAGAATGACATTTATTTATTTATAAGCTTTCTATCTGGACGAATAAACTTTGATCTATAATGGGTGTTACTTTCAGTCCGTTGTTGCAGAGATCAGCTCCTGGCAAGAAGCATCAATCATGCTTGAGTAAGTTGATTTTCCCATTCCCACCCCCCCCAATACACACATCCTTGGAGAAGAAAGTTTGATGCGTGATCAATATGTTGCTCAAATTACTGGCCTTTTAGTTCTATAGCTATGTCAATTCTTCGCCTGTTTGGTATAATCCACTAGTACCTAATATTTGCTACTCTCGCGTGGAGAACATCTGAGCATGAACATATCTGACCATCGTCCTCTTTCTGAAATTCAAAATGCATAAGTTCAATTAACTTTGGCCAAAATCAAATAGTTGTTTTCTTTTTCACGTTTGTCCTTTTGTTGGCAATGATAGTCTGTCACATGCTATTGCTGCAGGAGTGTCCGATTTACACAACAACTTGCTTTGTTTGCTCCACAAGCCGTTTCTGTGCGCACCCACTTGCAAGTTCTTCTCCCAACATTAGTCTCTAAACAGGTTTTGACCCTCTGGATTATGAAATGAACTTCCGAATTTCTTGTCTAGGATTCCTACTCCCTACTCCCTAATCTTCTCTCTCTCTCATTCGCACTATTTTTCTTTTGAGAATGCAGCCAACATTGCGACATCTTGCTATAGCTACTCTACGGCATCTTATTGAAAAGGATCCAGTATGTTTTCTTTTCCTAATTACTTTACCTATTTTTCTTTTCTTTGCCCCATTTTTATGGCTGGTTTGAATCCTTCATGAAATGTTGTTCTTAGGTTCCAATCATCGAGGAGCAAATAGAGGAGAGCTTATTTCATATGTTGGATGAAGAAACTGATTCAAAGTAAGCCATGAATGAATTTCTTCATGTTGACTAAACTTTGAGGGCCAATTTTTTATGGTTTTGTTCTAAGTAGGATTTCTTGTTTTCCCTCTGAAGTTTAGCTATGATACATCTGCTTCTGCTGTTTGAACAGGCAGGTTACATGTACAAGGCATGTGCAGAAAAAATGACTTAAATCTATTAAAAGAACATCAAACTGAAAAGAAACTCTGCTTCTCTGTGCAATTTGTTCTACTAGTAGTTAGCTGTTTTGTTATATGTTTTTTATGCGATTGTTGATTTAGTTTTTCTTTTATTATTTAAATTTCCTCCTTATTTTATTTTGGTTCAAATACTGTTTTGGATTCTGTACTTTTGGCTTTGTTTCATTTTGGTTTCAATACTCTTAATATTTGTTCATTTTGATTTCAATACGTTCGAACTATTTGTCTTGGTCTTTGAATTTTTTTAAAATGTTACCATTTTGGTCCCTATTTACAAATTCAAACACAAATTTATTCACAATAGAAGTCATTTAATACAAATTTATGGTTACATTTTAAGGAAGTTAGAGAATGAAGTTTCATGCTAACATATTGATCAAAAGAAATGAGATAAAAATGAAATGTAGGGACCAAATTGGTCACTTTTTAAAATTGTGGGGGCAAACAAATATTTTGAAAGTACTTGGTTGAAAGCAAGAGACCAAAATGGACATATTGAATGTATAAGGACCAAAATGAACTAAGCCAAAAATATAGGGACCAAAATAATATTTAAACCTTTTATTTTCTTATGGAAGCACAATCCTTGATATAGTTGGACATCTTACATCTTGGTGAAATTATTTTCTTATGGAACACAATCCTTGAAATGGTTGGACATCTTACATCTTGGTGAAAAATGATTTAGATGTATGATTTCTTTTGTTCTGAAAAAGAAACGGGGACTTCCAAACAGGCATAAGGAGCACCGAAAAGTCATGCAGACAAGGTGTTCCCTTGCTATGGAGGGGGAGGGATCCAACAAAACACCTTCAATCTAAGTTGATTATAGAAGTTGTGCATTAGCAAAAATCTTTGTATAAGGCCCTCCAATATGAGGCTGTAAGCTGAATAAAATCATTAAAAAAAAAAAAACCCCATAAAAATCCCTGAAATTCGCATTATTTCTTTCATCTCATATATACTGCAACAGAGCTGTAGAAGTATTTTTTGGAAAAGGATTTCTGAATGCTGAGTTCTCCAAGAAACTACCTTGATAGAAACAAAAAAGGCTTCTTCCAAGAAACTTTTGAAATTCGAACCAACGCCTTGAGGAGAGAGATCCATTATCTTTAAAAGGAGCTATTTTCAGACTTGTAGAGAAAACTATCATTTAACTACAAAATACATGATAAGAATAGATGCCAATAACTTGATGAGAGGGTCATTAATGCCCATAAATCTCCAATGGAAACAACATTAACAGCCTCTATCCTCAGAGATGTAAGAAGCAAAAGAAAAATCAAGTGCCACAAAATCTTATCTGTTATTAATCTTCCCACATCAAAAATCCCTGCAAAAATAACATCATTAATATAGATAACTATATAAAATATTTTCATATAAAATATGAATTTGGAAAAATAGATATCAAATGTTACGGGCATCTTTGATTCCTTACCATTGTTTTGTGACTTTTGCAGCATTGCAAATATGGTGCGGACCACAATCGTGCGCTTACTGTATGCATCATGCCCTTCGTGCCCTTCCCACTGGATAGCAATATGTCGAAATATTGTAAGTTCTTTTACTTGCTCAAATTCACGTGATGTTATTTTTTTCATCATTTTCAATTCGTAAACATTGAAGTAATTGACTTATTTACTTCCTTGTGTGAGGGCCATTGTTCAAATAATCGGTTCCCCTCGTTCCGTTGTACTGTTAATCTTTTCACAGTAATGAGATAAAAGATTACATTGTTTCTTCAAGTTTAGGTCAATTTGGCATGCTTTTGGATCTTGGTCATGATAAATAAACTATGCTCCTTGGCATTTGAAGTCAACTTACATCAATGTAATTTTTCAACAATTCACTATATATGATTCACTTGATTTAACTGCTGAATTGATCAGGTGCTCGCTACATCAACAAGAATAAATATTGAGTATAATTCCAACTCAGAAAAAGATTCTTCAAATGCTCTAGATGGTGACATAAAGTCGGACGTTGGAGATGATGATGAGAATATGGTTTCTAGCCACAAGAGAGTTCCAATACCAGGACATACTTTAGAGGCTTCCAATACTATTACTCAAAGGGATAAACACCTTAGATATCGAACCAGAGTTTTTGCTGCCGAGTATGTGTCTTTACTTTTTCTCCCATCTTCAGTTACAATTTTTGATGCATGCAGCGTAGTCAACCGTATTGATATTTTATTCGTATGATCCTTTCAAAAGAGAAATTTTTGTTTATGTCTTATTGCCTAGTGGTATGTTCCTTAAAAGTGACACCGGAAGGATCAAGGTCATTTTTCCATCACTGTTTAATTTTGTGTATTCCGTAGAGTTTTTAGTTTCAGCAATCCACTATTTTTGTATTAGAGATATTCTTGGAAGACATACTTGTCCCTCCACCCTCTTTCAGAGAAAAAAAAAAAAAAAAGTTTCAATGGCCGGTGGGATGTTTGCTAATTTTTTGATGTATTTGTTTGTAGAAGTGTCAGTTTTTTGTTGCAGAATTTTTGAATGGCAGAGTTAATTAATATTTCTTTGAAATAATTTTCATTTTCGATCACTGATTAGTTAATTCTGAAATAATGGAGATGCCTACAGAGAAGCTGCATGCATAACCAGACAGACATCCAGCATAACTGGGAACCTTCGTACTGTTCTTGAATCAAATAATCCCTTGATTTTGTAAAGTTTTCTTTCAGTCTTTCCCAAAGATGGTCTTTGTTCTTTGAGCCATATGGTCTGGAGGCCCCTCCACCTTCAATTGATCCTTACTTCCTAAGCTCTTGTCGAGGAGACAATGCCTTTTTCAGGTCTCCTGAGCCAAGTTTGTTGTTCTGCTTTCGTTCTCCTTCCACTAAAAGGAAGATCTATTTCAATATGGTACAGAATCCAGGACTTCTTTTTATGATGTTAAGCCTAAAAAATAGTTTTCATGTTCTGAGGGGTTCTACTGGAAACTTCTTGATTTCTTTGTTTCTACTTCATTTTTACTTGCTGCAGTTTTCTTTTGATAGCCTCATTTGTGGTCTTTCTGCTTTTGGTTCTTGGGTTGTCAGTTTGGTGGCTTTTCCTCGGAGGTTCCTTCGTGTTGGCTATGGTGCCTTGCTCCTTGTGGCTGTGGCTATCCTTGTGGAGTTTTCTTCTTTCATTGTTTGGGGATCTTTGTTTGCCGTGTCCTTTTGTTCTTGGAGAGCCTGTTTTGCGCTGTTTTTTTTTTTTTTTTTTTGGCTGGGTGTTTTTCTTTTCTCTCCCAGTGGGAGTTTATTTCATTGATCTTATTATATCTTTTTATCAATTCATTGAAAATTGTTAAATCTTTTCATTCTGGTTCAAAAGAAATCAAAGGATTTTCCATATCAGGCTTCTCCCTTCGATAAATTGCTTTGCTTTGGCTCATCTCAGGGATTTTTCATGTTCTTTTTCTTAGTCTTTTGTTGATTTCTCCTTCAATCAGAATGCCTTCAACTTTTCATTGTAATTCTCTCTATTTACTGTTTTGATTTTACTCCCTTGTGGAATTTATATCTTTTGAGCATTAATCTCTTTTCATTATATCAATGAAAGGTGTCGTTTCTGGTTAAAAAAGAAAATATTGAAAAATTGTTTCTTGTTAAAAAAAAAACATGTTATTATGATGCACTTGGTTCCCTTAGAACATGTTCAAATCTTTTTCAAACTTCCGACTCCTTTGATGATAGTATTCTTTATTTTTCTATAAAATAACTTATAAAGGCCAAAAATGTGATCCAATGTAAACTTCTTGCTCCACTTATCTTTTCATAATAAGATGAAATCTCCACTTACAATTTAAAGATTAAAATGATTTGTAAAACAAGGAATGCATTGAAAAATAAGTTGGTATGAATGGAGCACACATTCTTAGCCTTTCACTTTTTCAAATGTCACTCGTTACTTTTGTTGCCTTATAGACATAAGAATGGAGAGAAGCTTAATCAAACTTGGATCTTGTTGAAAATATGACACACTTGGGGAATTAGTGACTTTACGCAAGGAGAATGGATATCTTCAGAATAAAAAAGAAGTGAAAGGAGAATTTATTTGTTTTGATGTATGTGTATATGCTTTTTCACCTATACAACTAGAGATGCTTCATCAATTCTGTTAGAAATTTGAATTTCTTTTCACTGAGAATAATTACATCACTTGCTTGTGTGGGGGCTCTGGAAATAACGAATCAGAAGGATTTTTTACGATAAATCCATTACTTATTTGTGATTTTTTTTACCTTGTACAAGTTACGCCCTTGATCTGGAGTCTTAGACACAGGATTTTTTTTCTTTTTTCTTTTTTCTTTTCCCTCTCTCTCTCTCTCTCTTCTTCTTCTTCTTCTTCTTTTTTTTTTTTTTTTTTTGGGTATTATAGCCTAGCTCAGATCCTCCAAATTTTGGAGTCTGTGTCATTATAGGTTTAGTTTGGGAGGGAGGCTCCTCGCCCCTCTGCCCCTAGGTTGTGCTTTTTGTGATTAATACATCTCAGGTTCTTTTTAAAAAAAGGTGAATAATTACATCACTTGCCACTGGGCATTTCTTCAGTCAGTGATCCATGATAAAACTGTAATTATTGGTTACTGCAAATTGTTAATTTTCTTTTTATCAAATTAAAACCAAAATTCTGTTGTTTTACAGGTGTCTCAGTCATCTACCTGGCGCAGTTGGAAAGAATGCAGCTCATTTTGATCTTTATTTAGCAATGAATCAATTGCCTAATGGACCTAGCTCTGGTGATTGGCTAGTCCTTCATGTGCAAGAGCTTATTTCACTTGCTTATCAGGTGCTACATATGATGTTACATATATATGGTTATGTTAATTAGAATTTATGTCTTAAGTAGATCTCATAGTCAAATTTCTTGGTTATAGATTAGCACAATTCAATTTGAAAGTATGAAGCCAATTGGTGTTGGACTCCTAAGTTTGATTATTGATAAGGTACGCTTACAACTTTGCGTGTCAAATGTACTCTATTTATCTCTCTTTTCTTTTTGTATCACTTGCTTATCAGGTGCTAAACTGATCATTTGGATTTTCCCCCCTGATTTATGTTTTATTATTTGTTTGTGGAAACCTATTAGGGTTTTCTACTAGCCTTGGTCCTAAAAAAGAATATTTAGTTCCCTATAAGTTTTTTTATTTTTTCTCTTCGAAATGAAATGAAGCCACATGCATATGCGCACACATGTATTTCTTGGGTCAATAAATATATTAATTCCTTGTGAGTTCTTGTTTTGAGAGTGTTGTATATCTTGTGTTTTGTCAATACAGTTTGAACACATAGCTGATCCTGAGCTTCCGGATCACCTTCTATTGGAGCAATATCAGGTGCTTCTCTTTCTGTTTTGGTTTTTATTTTTCTCTATACACGTGCGTGCACGCACACTTGTATTTGGACCATTTCAGCATTAGCATTTGATGCTGTCTATCAATGTCATAGCCCATTAATGAATGATATTTCTTGATGTGGTTTGTTATTCATTGATCATCTGAAGTTCTGTTTCCCATTTGAATTATAGGCCCAATTAGTATCTGCAGTTCGCTCTGCCTTGGATACATCTTCTGGCCCTATTCTTTTGGAGGCCGGACTGCTGCTGGCCACTAAGGTTAGAACATTTACATCTTCATTTTCTTTGAAATTTACTTTCTGTCAAGCTAACGGGCTTTCATACATGTGTAGATCCTAACGAGTGGAATAATTGATGGTGATCAAATTGCTGTTAAGCGCATTTTTTCATTGATATCACGGCTATTGAATGACTTCAAGGAACTTTATTATCCTTCTTTTGCTGAATGGGTCTCATGCAAGGTATATTCGATTGTTCTTTTGCTTTCTTTCCCCCTGAACTTTGCTGGAACTTCTTTCTTATTTAATATTGGAAATAATACTTTTGGTCTCTATAGTTTCAAAACAGTTATGCTTTTAGTCCCTAAACTTTAGTTTGTAGTGATTGAGTTCTTCATATACTATATTCAAACCAAAATAAACATTTCTTTTATTTAGTTCTTATCATGAAAAATGTTGTTAAAATTGAATGATATTTTTTGCATACTAGATCAGTAAATTAATTAGAGACTATATGTGCTTATAAACTGAATTGACTAAATTGTTACATATTAAAAAATACATCTTATTTTGATGAGATTTTTCACACTAGGATTAAATTTTTACCTATAAGTTTAGAGAGTAAGTGATTACAATTTTGAACGGACAACAAGTATAATTTTATATAAAGTTTGGGGACTAAATTGTTACGGTAGTGAAAGTATAGGACCAAAACTATTTTTTAACCTATAATATTTCTTACTAAGAATTTATGAACTATGAAATATAGATTAAGGTTAGACTTCTGGCTGCACATGCCTCTCTCAAATGTTACACATATGCACTTTTGAGGAGACACCAGAGTGAAGTTTCAAACGAGTATCTAGCCCTGTTACCATGGTTTTCAAAGAGTTCCAATATTTTGGGAAAGCACTGGATCGGGGTTCTAATGGATTACGCCCATACCGGCTTATTCATGCATCCCAAGAAAAAAGTGAGCAGTATAATATAAATTAGTTTACCATTTGCTGATATTAATTTTTGTTTCTTTTCTCCCATCTCACCTTTTGCACAAATTTCTTGCAGTGGAATCCATTTCTCGATGGAATTCAATCACCTCTGGTTATATCGAAGTTACAGATTTCATTAGAGGAATCTTGGCCAGTTATTTTGCAGGCAATTGCACTGGACGCAATTCCAGTGAACCTTGATGAGATTGCAAATTCATCTCTTAATAATGCATTAGAAAACAACTTTTTATCTGGATATAGCATGGTTGAACTGGAATCTAAAGAATATCGATTTTTATGGAGCTTTGCTCTTTTTTCTCTGTTTCGTGGACGTCATCCTCTTGGGGAACAGAAAATAACATCACCTTCTACTGCAGCAAGTGTTGTTGAAGACTCTCCAGTGGAAACTACTAATTCTATAGAACTAAAACTCTATGAAATTGTACTGCCCGTTCTCCAGTCTTTATCAACAGTAAAATTCTGTACGGCTGGATTTCTTACAGTCGATATCTGCATAGAGCTTCTTCAGGTGCATTCTATACTGGTTCCTTTTATCCTAAAAGAATAATGATCCAAAATTTTTCAAGATAGAAATATCTTTTAATTTGTGAGGCTTGTTTGTGAATGTCTAGCTACTGTTTCATTTGATATTAAATTTTAGTCTACTGAATATCAATTTTCTTATGTCCCATCTACTTCGTAGATGTACATTATAATTTTCTTGTTCATGAGAATATTTGGAATCATGGAATAACTCCATGCCCTTAGGAAGTGGTGATCAGGTTTGGCATGCTTTAAATCACCACTATGTTTCATGCCGATTAGGATTATGAATGTCTGATCATTGCTCTTCTGAGTCAGAAACGCCAATTTTGTACCTGCAAATTCTCCGAATTCTAAGCTGATAACATTTAAGGCATCTGTTTGTCTCTGCTGTGTTGTGAATGTTAGCTATACTGATTCTCTTATTCTTTTTAGATGCTTTGATTATTGGGCATGGAGTAGCATTTATTGTGCTCTCGGCTGTGAAAATTTGAATTGCAGTTCTTTATTTTATTTGAACAATGATGAACAAGGATTTCATCTCGGGGTGCTTGCTAGATGATGCTGCTTCTATAATTAGTATCGATCATTATGATTATGCATTGATTTTCTTGTCCTGTGCTGTTGATTTACGACATGTAGATTTTCATTCTCTTACTACGATTCTTTTATGATTATGAATTAATGTTTTATTAATTTATACTGATTGTCTCATGTAGGTTTTCTCATATTACACGTTCTTGGATATTTCTTGGAATTCTCTTGCAGTGTCTGTACTGTCCCAGGTAAAGATCATTATGCTTTTCCAAGTATGCCAATTTTGAATATGGAAATATATTGATTCTTATAAGAACTGTACGCCTTAGCAACACGGACTGATGGTGAAACTTAGGACTATGCACTAATACTTGGTAGGAAATTGTTTTAGGGCATATCTGACTCAAAAACAAATTTTCAATTTTTTAAGATATTTAATGGATGATATATGAATTTGATAACACCAACTTCAAATATTATGAAAATTGTGGTTGACTGACATTCTAAGAAGCTAAAAGATTTGGTAAAACAACCTACATTATAATCTTTTAACAAAAAAAAAAAAAAACTGTGCCCAAAAAAAAACCAATTGATTTTGTAACTTTAAATTTAATGTTAAGAACTTTTAGGTACCAAAAGTTCAAAATCATTTGAATGAAATTTTTTTGGGTTTTTTTCCTAGTTTTAACAAATGAATGCCTGTCCAGCCTGAGCTGTTGTTGTCTGTATGTGCATTGTGCTCACTATTTCCATTTCCCTGGTCAATTTTTCTTGCAGATCTATCAAATTATTTTTTGAAATACTGTTAAAGAACAATTTGAGTCCATAATTTATAGATCACGTTTATGAATTGTAAGCGTTGTTTAGATTTTCTTGACTTTTCTTTCTCATAAAAGTGCTGAGTGAATTAGGGTTAGTAATGCCAATTTCAAGGTTGTTACTTCTTAAGCCAAAAACGCATGCATCTTGTCTCTTCAGAATATGTGTACAATTCATGCCAATTCTTTTGTGGCTTTCTTCAATCAGATTGTTCAGAACTGCCCTGAAAGTTTTCTTCAAAAGGAAGACTTTGCTTACCTGGCATTGGAATTATGTCTGGCTTTCCTTTTTCGAATGTATCAGAGGTGATATGAAATAGTACAATATAATGCTTATTAAAATTTAAATAGACTTTGTGTGCTGCCAAACTGATGATATGTTTCATCCTCTTGTTGTCCATTATGAATTCTAGACAGCTAGATCATCCACATTGGGAGGATTTGATATCATCATTATTTCTTACCGTAAAGGTACTCATGGAGCGTTTTGAATTTAAGGTAGGTAAGCCGATGATTTATGTCTACTCTATTCATTGAATATTACATTTCTCTGATGAAGTTTCTATTCAATTTATATATTCGGAAAGATACTTTATTTTAGGAATATATTGAATTGGGATATCAGATTCCTTAGGATATTTACATTATATCAGTTATTTTGTTTGAATAGCTTTTTTTTTTTTTTTTTTTGGCATGCAGAAACAAATACTATCTTTGCTGCTGGCCTTTTACTCCATTGGACTGAAATACTTCAGGAACACGTCGACTGAATTCTGCTTATCTAAAGTAAATGACTTTATTAGGTCCTTTGGCCGTATATTAGAGAAACTTATCCAAGGTAAGCTTTTGGAAGTTATAACTCATTGTAAAGGTTGTCAAAGAACTTTTATATCCAAATCAGTTACAAATGAGTTGCGTCCTTTTCCCTTTATGTTGTAATTTTGTAATTATCGTTAGAAATTATTTTTGTTTGTTGTAGAAACGTCCCATACTACAATTCTCTTAGTAAAACTTTAAATTGGACAAATATTATAGAATCTCATATAAGCCACCAGTTGTACGTGCAATGCATTTATTAGTGAAAAAGTGTTAAGGGAGGAGGGGCTTAGATTGTTAGATTGGGCGGGTTCACTCTTTTAACTTAACGATGTGATGTATGTGAGAAACGCATGAAAGTCAGAGTGTCTTTGGCATGTCTTTTAAAGTTCTTGGGGTTGACTAAAAGTGCTTGTTAAGAACTGATAGTGTTTAGCTAAATTTTAAAGAGCAGTAAAATGTTCTTTTAAGTTTAATCAATCGAAAGCACTTCTGAAAATTTTCAATGGTTTGAGAAATAATAAAAGCAGATAAAATCCCTTAATTTTCCTTCCCAATGTGTTTTCATTTAAAAATATTTTTTCAACATGTCCCAAACTCGCTATTAATATATGATGAATATGAGTATCAGAGAGATAGTTGACGTTGGAAGAGTGGAAAACTCTCTGGTCTTTACCTAGGTTTTTACCCTGCTTGTTGAAAAATAAAGATAGGTTCAATAACTCTCTGACTTAGTGGTGATTTTCTCTCTTACTTTGAAGGGACAGGCTTCCTTTAGGTATATATATTCTTATCTGTTTTTTGATAAAAAAATGAGCTTTCATCAAGAGAAATGAAAGATTTTTCTCATTTAGGACTTCCTTTAGGTATTATTTTCTTTTCTTATATTATATTACATTCTTATCGTCTGCATGCACTCGGGGTATTTTCAGCGAATACCTGATTGAATTGACAATTATCTACCTCTTTTCGTCTCGCGCCTAATGTCTTCTTGTTAAAAACGTTTTTAGGATTAAACTTTGTTTTTAGCTTAAGGCTCTTAATTTGAATGGGAGAATTTTTTATGAAGTGGTTGCTTAAAATTTAAAAATATTCATATTGCAGATAGAATCAAGCTCGGCGAGGAGAGTCTTCATTCTAACATGCTTCTTGGAACCTGTATGAGTTTGGTTGTGGATTTGTGCAACAATTGTGTTGAGGGCATTCATTTGGTTAAGAACAAAAGCTCCAAGCTCCAGAGACTACTGCAAGTAAAGCTTGCTTTTTCTCTAGAGCAAATTATTTCACTGGGAAAGCCGGTTTATCTTGCTGCGTGTCTTGAAGAGGATAAAGAGATTGAGAGAGTATGTTTTTCTGTTTTCAAATATGGAACTGAATGCATCAGAAACGTGCTTCATGATTCAAATTCGCAGGTAAATATTATACAAAGTGAATTTCTGCAACAGTTGACAAAATTACAATGGAAGAAAATTGGGTGATAGAAGCTTCTTTTCCTCAGGTTCAGGCAATTGGGTTGCAAGTACTAAAAGGCATGACCCAAAAATACACAAGTAACGAAGAAAAAGCTTTCCTTCTGTTCTTTGTTGGGGAACTCATTGGAGACGTTTTGGCGACCATCGATATGGTTCTGAAGGTACTTTATTTTGTACTTCACATTATTTAGAGGGTAATTTAGCAACTGTAAGTTAACCTCTAATTTATTTGCCCTCTAAAATCATATTTAAATAAAATGTTGGATTTCTATTATATTTTTGTATTTTTATGTATTAGGTGTATATTTATCAGTTATAATATTTTGTTTCCTTATTGGTACATGGTTTTTCTTCTAGAAGACCTTGTATTTGATTCATAATATATAGTCGAAATACATTAATTTTATTTTCTAGTATCTTCTTATCTTTCATAACTGACTTGATGAACTGATGCGAGCTCTTTCGTTCTCATATTTAGCAGAAACCAATAACTAAAGAGTCGATAGGGATCGCGATTGAGTGCTTGAGATTCTTAGTGCTTCTACAAACACTGTCCAATGTCAGTGAATGCCAGAAAACGTTTATGAATCTGCTTTTAGAAGCCGTAGTCATGATTTTCTCTGCCTCTGCAAGCTCTAATGCTAAGGTAAGCAAACTGAATCAACCAAGTCTGAAAGCTCTAGCTTAAAGAATCTACCCTCTCTGATGCATTAAAGTTACTTATTGATAGGAACTCGATGAATTGAGAAGCACAGCAATAAAGCTTGTTTCTCATCTTGCTCAGATACCTTCCTCTGCTGTTATTTTCAAGGATGTTATACTGTCAATGCCAGTGATGCATCGGCAACAACTACAGGTAACTTGTATCTTTTTTGTATGGACGCCTTTATCTTTTTTTGGCATATATAGTGAGTGATAGCGCAAACGAAGTATGTTTGCATCTAAATTTTGACATGAAAACAACAATGCTACTAGCAATTCCTCCGAGTCACTTTGGCTGATGCTCATCCTGAAGAAGATCCCGATTCTCTCTCGTATACAACAAATGGTTGAATTAACATCAACCATCATGGAGTTGGTCTAGTGGTCAAATTGGGGTTACGAGAATAAATGATTTAGAGAAGGAATGAGTTCAAATCATAGTGGTCACCTAATTAGGATTTACCGGTTTTCTTTGGAACCAAATGTAGTAAGACGAAGTTGTACGGATGAAGAAAAAACAGGTTTAGATGCCATCTCATCTCTCAAGTTTTATTATCAAAACATGTATTCTAAGATTAACAGAATATGCACTGTCAGCCTTTTCGGAAAGGTTAGTCTATGATCAGTAAAATTATTCTGGTTCCCCTTTCAAGTACGGTATCCACAAATTGCATTTATGAATAAGGTGCATATATTCTTATGCTTCCAAAGAATTGAACTTGATATATGCGCTTAAAAGTATTTTAACGAAAAGTTTCACCATATTTAAATATTTAATGTGAAACAGATTTCAGTGGCATTTTTTGTGGCAATACTCATTTGACTAACAAAGAATAGTTGTCTGGTCTCAGGGGGTTATCCGTGCTTCGGTCACACAAGATCAAAACCCAACTCAGAAGAATCTCTCAACACCAATTCTGCAGATAAGAGCACCAGCGATTGAGGTGAATAGAGAGAAAGTTTCCCCGCCACATACGGCTGAGGCCAGCACTGAAAGCAATCCTGTAACTGTCATTGAACATGATGAGGATGAGGATGAGGATGAGGATGACGATGACTGGGATACCTTCCAGTCTTTTCCTGCTTCCACACGAGAAGTAATAACCGATAATGTCGCAGAATCTCGTGAAGTTGAGGACTCAGTTCTTGAAAGTAGTAGTCCTAGCGTTAGCATGGAAGACCCTACTTCCCTTCCGATTGAACATGGAGAAACCAGTGAAGAAGTATCAATGTCTATATCTTCAACAGGTCAGAGATCTTCAGACGGAGATCTAATTGGCGAGAGGAGCGGAATGCAAGGAGTCGGTGATCAAGAAAGTGGTGAGGAACATGCCATAGAAAAAGAAACTTTGCCAGGACAAAAACGAAGCCAAATGACTGAACAAGTATCATCTCAACTTCAACTAGCTGAAGTTGTAGAAGATTCTGCTACAGTCAATTCCTTGGAGGATCATAAACCAGTCGACGAAAGCCCAGAAAACCAAACCGAGCTGATGCCTTCAGATCGTGAAATACTCGACAACAATGCAGATAATGATCATGTCGGAGAATATGAAGGTAAGGAAAAGGATACTGTGGTTAAAACGTCGAGTGTTGACGATGAACAGAGAAATGACAGTTTATGATCACCAATATAGAATCATTGTTATAGTTGAGCCAGTTTTCAGGCTTACAATAGAATTGAAGATACTACCATCATGTTTGTAGGTTAAATGTTTGGTGGTTTTTTCCCCTTTAATAGTTTTATTACATGAAAGATGAGTTCTTATAGAAAGGGGTACTTATATGGACTCTCTCGTAAGTTCCATCCTAAGATTGTGTTGGCTTCAACCGGTTGAGATATTTGAGTCGAGTTTACTTAGGTTACTCGTGCCATTCATTTATAATTTTGTAAAAAGGGACGCAAAAACAATGGTGTACTTTGAGAATTTATTTACATTTTTTCATACATTGAGCTTAAACAAAACAGTTCATTATGATTAAGAATGAATTTATAAAGACTTAAACCCGCTCATTATGTAAATATTGTTGAACTAAATATGGTTATATCACGATTCTCATAATATAATAAATTGAAATGGTACTGCTCAGTTTAATTTCAATGATTCATAGTAACTTCAAAAACAAGATCTTCTTTTTGAAATTTAGCTTAAAATTCAAAAATATTTTCTTCGAATGAGAGGGAAAACGACACAATTTTGATCTATTCCGTATGAATCTGAGTTAATTTCAATAATTAAAAAAAAAAATCCAATTAAACAAACCCAAAAGAGAGCAGAGAGATGCCATTGGGATCCACTGGCCTGCAAGATTGAATAATAATTAAGGGGTTTAAAAATATGAGAATTTTCTCGAATTAAAACAATTCAAATCTTCTGACAAATGCAATGTTCCCAAGCAAATTTTAAAATATGTTAAATAGTTAAAACACAAAATAAAAAAAATAAATTAGAGAGTTATAATATTAAAAAATTTCAAAATATATTAAAAAAACGGTTGGAAAGTGGGGCCCACGAGAAAACTGCACACGAGATGTGATGCCAATTTATATATGCATGTGTTTCCTTCTTTCTTTCTCATTCTCTCTTCTCCACTTCCTCCTCCTCTGTCTCTCTCTCTCTCCGCCTCTCTCTCTCTCTCTGCCTCTCTCTCTGCCACCAATTGAAGTGTTGTAATTACTAACCAGCCGGTCTGTGGCGGCGATGGCCATCATGTTGGCCCTGCTTCTTACAACTCTCGCATTTGCAGCGACGTCGTTTTGCATCTTCTCTTTATTGTACCACACCCTCTCCTGCTACTGGCTCACTCCCAGGCGCATCATGAGGAAGATGGCTAAGCAAGGCGTGCGTGGCCCCAAGCCCCGCCCTCTCCTCGGCAACATCCTCGACGTCGCCGCCCTCCTCTCCAAGTCCACCTCCTCCGACATGCCCTCCATCTCCCACGACCTCGTCCCCCGCCTCCTCCCCCACTACCTCGCCTGGTCCGCCCAATTCGGTACGCTCCTTTATTACCCATTCATTCTCTTCTATCATTTTCACACCATAAAACTCCATTAATTTTTAATTTTCCTCAGGTAAGAGATTCATCTTCTGGAACGGAATTGAACCCAGAATGTGTCTCACAGAAACCCATTTGATCAAAGAGCTGTTGTCCAAATACAGCTCTGTCTCCGGCAAGTCCTGGCTCCAACAACAGGGCTCTAAGCACTTCATTGGCCGTGGTCTCTTAATGGCCAACGGCCCCAATTGGTTCCATCAACGCCATATCGTCGCCCCCGCTTTCGTCGGTGACCGCCTCAAGGTCCCTTCATTCACATACATACATACATACATATATACATATATATATATGTTTGAATTTTAGTGATTTCTTTTGTTTTTTTTTTTTTGGTCGAGCAGAGTTACGCAGGGTACATGGTAGAGTGTACTAGGGAGATGCTTCAATCATTAGAAAATGAGGTAAAATCGGGGCGATCCGAATTCGAAATCGGCGAGTATATGACCAGACTCACCGCCGATATAATTTCCCGAACCGAGTTTGAAAGCAGCTACGAAAAGGGTAAACAAATCTTCCATTTACTCACCGTTTTACAACATCTCTGTGCTCAGGCCAGCCGCCACCTCTGCCTTCCCGGTAGCCGGTAACCTCTCTCTCTCTCTCTCTCTCTCTCTCTGTTTCTCTCTGTTTCTCTCTCTGTTTCTCCCTGTTTCTCTCTGTTTCTCTCTCTCTGTTCTCTCTCTCTCTCCTGAATAATCCTTTCTCTCTCCACTTTTTTTGAATAAAAATGTTTAATGGGTTTTAAACAGAGATTAAATTAAAACCCATGAAATTAAAATTTGATTAAAACTAATAATTACAGGTTTTTTCCAAGCAAGTATAACAGAGAGATAAAGGCATTGAAGGGGAAAGTGGAGGGGTTATTAATGGAGATAATACAGAGCAGAAAGGACGGCGTGGAGATTGGGCGAAGCAGTTCATACGGAAACGATTTATTGGGAATGTTACTAAACGAAATGCAGAAGAAAAAAAATGGGAACGGTTTAAGTTTAAATTTACAGATCATAATGGACGAATGCAAGACGTTCTTCTTCGCCGGCCATGAAACCACCGCCCTTCTTCTCACATGGACCATAATGCTATTAGCCACCAACCCATCATGGCAGGACAGGGTTCGAGCCGAGCTCAACGCGGTTTGCAACTCACAGACCCCCTCGCTCCACCATCTCTCCAAGCTTCCTCTGGTACTTCTGAAACTTCCCCTGTTTAAGAGCTCTCAAGATTTCAATCTTTTTCGGTATAAATAATGAATTTTTGGAGCTTTTTCCAGTTGGGTATGGTGATTAATGAGTCGTTAAGGCTGTACCCGCCGGCGAGCATTCTTCCCCGGATGGCGTTTGAGGATATAAAGCTGGGAGATTTGGAGATCCCGAAAGGGCTGTCGGTGTGGATTCCGGTGGTGGCGATACACCACAGCGAGGAGATTTGGGGGAAGGATGCCAATGAGTTTAACCCGGAGAGATTTGGGAGCTCCAAGGCGTTTACTTGTGGTGGGTTCATCCCGTTCGCTTCTGGGCCTCGCAATTGCGTCGGCCAAGCCTTTGCTCTGATGGAAACGAAGATCATATTGGCTATGCTCATCTCGAAGTTTAGGTTTACGATATCACCAAGCTATCGGCATGCACCAGTTGTCGTCCTCACTGTTAAGCCTAAATATGGTGTCCAAATTTGCTTGACTCCTTTGACTTGATCAATTTTGTTCTCTCTCTCTTTCTGTTTTTGCTAGAGTGAAAAGAAAGAAAGAGTTGTAATGTTGTATTTTGAGCAATAAATAACAAAAATATGGCTTCTTACACTCTTTCCCAAAAATGGGTCGGGCTCAAAATTAAAATTTTAATTACGACACCCGAGTAAATGAGGGGTACATGAATAAATCGAAACTATATTCTAATCATAAAATGACTAAGAAATGCTTACAAGAACCGAAAGTCATTACTTATATCAACAAGAGTGTGAGAATCTTTTCCTAATAGACACGTTTTAAAACTATGAAGTTGACAGGTATATGTAATGGGCCAAAATGAACAATATCTAATAGTGGTGGGTTTGGGCGATAGCAGACTCAATCATGGGAACTCTATGATTAAACATGTTTTGGTTGAAAAAAAAAACTTTAGAACTTTTTAAAAATGCATGTGAGCGAAGACAAAACATGCTGAAAGACTCGTCTTGATCTGTGAAGATAGTTTTTACAGGAGTAAGCAACATAACCATATTGTAAGAGATATAGGAGATTTCGATTTAAATTCGTGGTTACATTAACGTTCCATTGAACTCAAATTTTAATTTTATATCTACAGTTAAATGTATTAAATATAAAATTAAAATTAAAAGACAGATTTATTTGACTTCAATTTTATTTTTTGTAATTATAATTAAAAGTCTAATTTTATATGTGATAAAAATTGAAAAGGAAGGCCAACTATTAGTTCAGTCCCTTTTCTTATAAACAATAATATTTATAGACCATATCCAAAAAAGGAAAAATCTTGAGATATTGTCCATTTCAATATTAATAAATATGGAAATAAAAATTTTAAATAAAAAAAAAAGTTGATTTTTATATCTTGGATTAATTTAATTAGTAAATAATACAATATATGAGCTGTTGTTTAGTGGCAAATAATTTAATATTAAATATTTATGGAGATTTTAAAAATATATTCTTTAAAATAAATAATAATGAAAATCAAAAGATCAGTGGGGATAAGCAGCTTTTGGTTGGAAAATTTTGAAAATGAAAGTGAAAATTTATACATGCAAATTATATATATATATATATATATATATATACACTAGTTCTAAAATCATTATGCTTTTAGAAGTCTCACAATTATAATTATAAAATCTAGTTTTAAAAGAGAAAATGGTAAATTTTAAAATAAAAATATCTAGTTTGCAATTTTAGGTTATACAAACTCTACTTTCAAACTTAATATCATATCAGAGTCATCATTAATATGTTAGATCTCACCGTTTTATAAGATTTATTGAGCCCCATGAGTAGTTGCATTAACTTGTCTTCTTCGCGTTGATCAATATGTATTTAACGTTGATTACAGGTAAATGGTGTGCGGTATGCTTCTAATTCATCCGAGAGTGCTTTGAGTTTGGTGAAATATACTGACAGTGTCATGGTTTCCTGTGACATCATTGCTATCGACTTTGGTATCTGAAAAATTGTTGGAGCATTATTTTGTGAGAATTGATCATGAAGATCAACCCACACTTGATCAGCTGTCTTGACGTGAATAATACCCTCAGCGATATCTGTTTCAACTAAATGAGTTAACCAAGATATTATCATACTGTTGCACTGATTCCAGAGTTCAAATTCGGTAGAATTTGCATGTTGAGACGGTTCTTCAATTGTACAATGAAACCAATTTTCTTTTTAGCAATAAGAGCATGCATAACTCATTTACTCCAGAATTGACAATTTGTTCCATTTAATTTGATTGGAACAAATGAATATCATGACTTATCAGATTAATGAATATAATAAGGATATATTAAATTAACATCTGAAATTCTAAAGGTGGATTTGGCTGATTCCGAGATAGAGGAAATTTTGATATTTAAGAATACCAAGATCGATACTCTGATACCATGTTAAGAATAAGAAATAAAAACAGAATTAGAATTAAAGGTATGTATTGTGTATTCTCACTCATATTCATAATCTTTAAACAGGATACAAGTTACCCATTAATACCTACCAATAAAAAAAATATAAATTAATTAAATATTAAAAATAAAATAAAATATACTATAAATCAAATTAAAGAAAAAGAAAGAATATTAAAATATAATATATAAGATATACTCTATGAATAATATATTTTTCAAATATTATAACGATGATCTATAATATATATAATATATATATT